CCTCCTAGCTAGAACCTAAGCGCGCGCGAAGCGCGCGCGTGGTTCTAGTATGTATGTATGTATGTATGTATGTATGTATGTATGTATGTATGTATGTATGTATGTATGTATGTATGTATGTATGTATGTATACTTGTGTATATATATGATATCTATATGTGCGTCGGCCACGCGAGGGCCCCAACGCTCGGAAATCTTTTCGGACAAGCTCCGTGGCGGGCGCTTTCCGGCCATACCGCCGGAGAAACGATATGCCACTATGTGTTTGTATCCTATGCTCGGCTCGGACGCGCGCCACCAACAGAGGCACGTAGTACTAGTATGTCCTTAGGCGCGTGGATTAGCGACAGGTCTCTTTTCCACACGACATTGGCGCGCTCCGTCGCCAACTGAAGCGTCACTTTGCTAGAGTCGGGCACTGCTAAAGGGGGGCCACCACCAGAGGGGCTCACCACCGCCGCCTGGAGATCGGTGATCGGAGGAGGGAGGATCGAGGTCCGATGGGGTCTTGGGCGCTTCGGGCAGTCTTTGAGAGTCCTGGGCTTTCTCTTGGGGGTCCAGGGGGATCGGTCTCCTGGAGGGATTGGCGACCTCCTCAGCGGTGGCCAGGGGGACTACCACAGTCAGCCACGCGCAGAGGAAGGTGGGGGGAGGGGGGAGGGCTTCTTAGAAGCACCCCTGCTTCTTGGAAGGCGCGGGCCCTATAGATGTAAGGCCGGCGCCTTCTAAGGAGCAGCCTCCTTCTAAGAAGCCCTCCCCCCTCCCTCCACCCCCTCGTGCGCGCCGCCAACACAGTCCCTCCAGCTGGGGGGCCAGCGGGAGAGCGCGCCGTATCGCGGATGCACGTCGCGGCGCGATCCGGAACCGTCCGATGTTTTCCGTCCCGACGTTGCGGGTGCAGCGCAGCGGCGAAGCATTGGCGAAGCGGCGCGATCCTCCGACTCCATCTGCTCTGGCCCAACGTGGGATGTCGCCAGGCTTCTAGGTGTCGGCGGATGTCCTGGGCCGTGATCCTGGGCCGTGAGGGGCAGGAGGGAGGAGGGGGAAGGAGAAGGGAGGAGGGGAGGGGGGAAGGGGCGAGAGAGGGGAGGGGGAAAGGGAGCAAGGAGGGGAAGGGAGGAGGGGTGGAAGGGATGGGGAAGGGAGGGGGAGGAGGAGGAGGAGGAGGAGGAGGAGAGGAGGAGGGAGGAGGAGGAAAGAGGAGGGGAGGAGGAGGAGGGGGAGGAGGAGGAGAAGGAGGAGGTGGAGGAGGTGGAGGAGGAGGGAGGATGATGATGGAGAGGGAGGAGGGAGGGGGAGGAGAAGCAGGAGGAGGAAGAGGAGAAGGGGTAGAAGGGGGGGAGGGGGAGGAGGAGGAGGACGAGGATGAGGATGAGGATGAGGATGAGGAGGAGGAGGAGGAGGAGGAGGAGGAGGAGGGGGAGGAGAAGGAGGACGAGGACCAGAGGAGAACTCATGACTCGTCAACGATGTTGGAATAAACCCTCCTCCAAGCTCCCTCTTCGTAGGCCCCTACAAGTGTTCATGTCCACTGGGAACTGCCTCGTTGGGAGACAACCGTCTGAGGACCCTGAAGCGTGCCAAACATCATTCTCGGGACTCCAACGCCACGAATCAACATGACTATTGCGTTTGACGATCTGGAATCGTGCCATGACAGCATTCCTGCGACTTCAACACCGCGAATGAACGTAACTGTTGCGCCCTCACAATCCTGAGTCCTTCCAAAACAAAATTTCTGGCACGTTGACCATTGGAATCCGTGAAACGCTTGCAAATATTGAAGACTAGTTTGCGCGGCGCGAAGGCGAGAACAACATTCTGATAAGGAACCGCCCTCAATCCGTGAAGCTATTGCAAAAAGATATAACGAATGTGCGCGGCGCTCAGGCGAGAGCCTCATTTTGAACACCAACTGCCCTCAGGTGGGGGAGAAGGATGAGTAGCAGGACGAGGAGGAAGAGGATAAGGATGAGGACGAGAAGGAGAAGGAGGAGGAGGAGGAGAAGGGAGGGATTTGGAGGGGGGAAAAGGAGGATGGGAGAGGAGGGCGGGAGGATGAGAGAGGGGAGGGGAGGGGGGAGGAAGAGAGGGAGTGAAGCGGGGCAGGAGGCAGGAGTTTAGGGCAATGTTCGAATATTGATCGGAAGTGTTACTTGGACTTTGGAGTCAGCTTGGGTATGATTCCGAATTCGTCGCCGCACCTTACGAAGAAGGCATGCGACTCACCCACGCGATATGGGCACAACATATCATCGTGTTCGCGAGGGGCTTTCCAAGATGCAGCACATGGTGGACGGAGTGACTACGTAGGCAGACACAGTACTGCCGGAGGGAAGTATCAGACCGACTATGTTTTTCCTGGAAGCCAGAATCGCTGGAGTACATGATCTGCGGCTCGGCGTCGAGGGCTGCCATGGAGGGGCTATGGACTAAAGATGGCGATATCGTATTGGAGTATCAGGAGAAAGACGAGCTGGCCCCTCTTGGGGGCGAGTCT